CTTATTTTCGGTACAGAAACCATTTTTATCTCAATCTCCAGATACATTTTTTCCTTATAGAGCGCATTCACTGTGATCAAATTGATATAAAAATATTTTTTCTTCCGACTTTCTGTGTTTTTTGTTTTGTAACACCTGTCGCAGCTGATTTTTCATTCACAATATTTATTTTCCTAGCTTTGTTTTTTTAGCTGCACGTTGTTGAGTGGTGAAATTCCTATAGAAAATCCATTAAAATAACCAAAGGAATTTTAGTTTAAGTTTCTCAGAGAGAATTCGATTGTTTGGTGGTGTATGTGTGTGTTTGGTGTGTGAAGAGAGAAGTTGTAAAACCGGATTTTCCTTTTGGGCGCTTTCGTAGTTTTTGTTGCCTTTTGCACTTTGTCTCGATCTTCGATTTTTAATACCCATTTGTATTCAATATTGGGATCTTAAAATGTTAAAACAATTTTCTTTACTGCTTTTACTTTTTTGCTTTTGTTTACTTTGCTTTTGCCTTTTTTTCTTTTAGTTTGCACTTACACTTGTTGATTATTTAATATATTATATTTTTATTGCCTTTATTTGCGTTTTTCCTGGCGTTTTCTTTTATTTTTCAGCTTTTTGCTAATAATTTATTCAAATCAAACTGACACACGCACACTTATGCACGTACTTACACCGACACGCACGCACACACACGAGAAACGTCAAGCGACGCGCCGCAAAAACAACAAAAACAACGAAAAAGGCGGCGAAAAAAAGAAGTAAATCTTTTCTTTGCTTTTCACCGGCAAAATAAACTAAAAGTTTAAATAAATATTCGGAATTTAGCGAAGAAACCGACGAAGTTCTGCCCTCGGCGTCGAATTACTGAACAATTCCCAAAAAAAGTTATATTTTTATCCGCGATTTCGTCTGCGTTCGAAAAAAAATTGTTTATATATGGCTCGATGTGGCCAGTTGTGGAGGCGCCGATAATGCTGAACGCTCTCCGCGGTATTTTTCGTGAGCGCTGTTGCGGTCACACCGCTCCGCTCTCTTTTCCTCTCTTCAGTGTTGCCAATTTGGCTATTTTCAAGAGCAGCGAAAATTCAAAAAATCGCTATTTTTATTTTCACTTCTTGAATAAACAATTCTTGTTTTCAATCAAAATGACCATTTAATTTTATTTCAATAATACGCAAATTTTTTTGGAAATGAGAATAGAATCTCAACAGTATATATGTAATCTTACAATTTGTCAAAAATACATTAAAATTAGTTTAATTTTTGACTTAAAGCAACCACTTTAAAGCTAAGAGATTCTTGCTTATTTTTGTGAGAATAACAAGATAAGAGAGCGTGTCTATTGGGGGCTAAGAAATTTAAATATTTGGCGCCAATTGTGTTTTTTCTAAATATTTAATTTCTTGGCGAAATACCATTTTTATAGAATATGTTGCCTATTATCCAATTTATAGGAACATTATAAAAATTATTTCTGCTAGGAATTGACGATTTTTTTTATTATCTAAATTATTTATCTTTAATTATTGTTATTAAAGCATTTTTAATATTGGATTTTAGTGCAGTGCACCACATGTTATTTACTAGTTAATAAACACAAATGTGTAGGAAGCGTGTTAATTCAGGGTAAATATTTACAATGAAATTAACTTGGTCTGTCTGCCATTTCGCATTCATCGCTGTTAATTATGAGAACTCGAATTGAATTAGATTTGCCTATTGATTTGCAATTCACACCCACAAAACCCACCACCACCCGATGATAATTGCCAATTTGAATGGAAAACCAGAACGGGCGAGCGAGAAATGGAGTCTGGAAAATGTCGGGAAAACTATTGAAAATCAATTTGCATTCCACACCAGAAACATCCAAATATATTAATTCCCCCACACTAAAAAACTTAAATCCCAAAAAACCAATGAAGCAATCGGCAAATGAAAATCTTTTCGAGGGATGTGAAAGAAAAACAAGAACCGCACTTCAAAAGCAATTTCACCTTGTTTTTCCACACAAACAGCAACAAAAATAGTGGATAAACAATGGCGCGAGGCAAATCTCTTTTTTGGCCATATATAACTTTTCGGGTAAGGAATTTCCCAAACTGCTCTTCAAGAATTTTCACGAGTGGTGGCGTCTCCTATTTTTAGGCCCACTATAAAAACAACATACAGTGGGCTCTCGAAAAAAGTGTGTTCACTTTTTCGATAAAATGTGTTTGTCATAAAATGTTCAGATATTTTACTATTTTTTTTAAATATTTATTTTTTTTGTAACTTCACTTATTTTTCTGAAAAAGTTATGGTAGAAAAAAAATGTTTTGGAAACTATTTCTTTTTAATCATAAAATATAATATAATAAAAAATCAAAATAATATAAAATCATTATTAATAGTTATTCAATTGTTCTTGTTATTTTTATTGAGTGTACACTTTACACGACAAAAACAAAAACAACTGCAGTTGTCTGTACATGTACAGAACTAATTTATTTCGGTTTTAATTTAAAACTAAACGAACTTTCTACACACAAGTATATATTCATAAATGCATATATTTAAATACAGACTGTAAATAATAGGTATAGTAAATACTATACAGTATATATAACAGGAAACGGAAGCATCATTCGCTCTATTTGGATGTTTTATATGAGAGATAGGGGAGAAAAGCAAGGAAAAAATACAGAAAGGGGGGAAATGTGGAAAATAAAACAGAGGAAAACACAGCACAGGAATTTTGTTGTTGCCCGAAAAATGCCGGCAAATGAAAAGCGCAGGTCCAAATGAAAAATCCAAAGGAAAATCTAAAGAGAGTCAGTTTTCAGAGAGAGAGAGAGAGAGCGAGAGAGAGCAAAACAAAAACAGTTTAAAAGCAACTAGAGGTTTTCGAAGCACTGTCTTTGGATGCAATATTTATCGCATGCGAGAAATTTCTTCAAAACTTCAATGTGACTTTAAAACCTATAAAAGGCAAAGCAACTATACATTTGTATGTATATAAAAAAATTAAATAAAAAAACTAGTGATGCAGATTACGTGATCAGCAACTCAAAATTATTAAAAAAATAAGTATTTTAACCATTTATTTCTATTCAAATTACTGGTTATTTTTTAAACGGCATTATAGTTTGGCCTCCATATGGTTGAGCCATTCCCACCGAGCAAAGAGTAGCGGCCAGGACTATCAACAAAAGCGACTTCATTATTATTTTTCTACCATGGCTCGTTTCTTATTTATAGTTTTGAAATAATACGCTATTGCAGGCGATACAAATTTATTAGATATGCCACTCACAACTTTGCTTCGCGTTAACGAACTTATGTAAGTAGACTATAATTGAAATATTAGAATTTATTTAAATTGAAAATTAATATCTAAAAAAAAAAAAATTATATTTATGATTTTTATTTTTAATAAAGAGAAGACCTCGAGTTGGCCAAAGAACCTTTAAAATAAAATTCGTTTGATTACAAATATTTATAAATTTATATTTATACCGAAAACTCGGAATCTATGGCCCTCCTATCGAAACCTTTTACAAGATAGTTAGAACTGGAGTTTAAATTTTGTTGTGAATAAAAATAGTAATGCACTGATTAAATCAGCAAACAGTTCAGCGTTTGTATTCAAATGGCAAGGAAAGTTTCCCACCCCACCCAGAAAATTCCACTTCATTCCGAGCGAACAATTCGTCTTCAATGTCAGTTTCCCCCCAACTTCTTCACCCCCTTTTTCCTATATTTTACCCCAGCCCCTTCCAGATTTTCACACAACCGTCTTATCCTTCAGCAAAATTAACTTGAGAAGCTTGATAAAAGGGCTGCCATTCATTCATTCAGCAGCTTTGCCGAAAACTGTTCTCAATGCCAAAAGCTGCCAACTTAATTTATATTGTATTTAAAATGCAAAATGCACAACATTCAACAATGGGGCTAAAGGAAAGCAAAGAAAAGTGGGCGTGGGAGAGTGTGGGAAAGTGGAGAAGTGGGAGGGGCGCAGCTGAAAAGCTACTTTAATTTTACAACTTGACAAATTGAATGTTTGCAGAGTGGGAAAAGCGTAGCAATAAAGGAGACATTTAAACTGAAAAAAATTATGACATGTTTTATTTGGAAAATATACATATTTAAAATTAAATAGTATTTAAATATTAATTTATTATAGATTTTAAATGAATTTGAGAATTTATTTTATTTTTGTACAAAAAAGTTTTAATATTAAAAAAAAACGTGAGGATTTAAGTGAGCTCGAGGGTTATAAATAACTCAACAATTTAGCATTTCAACACACTTGCACTCGCTGAGGAGTGAAACTCGGACTTTCTAAAATTTCACTAATTAAAAAAAAAAAAAGTTCAAATAAAATAAATTTAAAGCCCCGATATATATATATTTTTTTAAAGGAAAAGATTTTTTTCTGTGTAAAATCGGTTGCATTTAAACAATAGGAATGCAGGGGGAGTAAGAAAAAGGGGTTTTAGAAGCAGTTACCAAGACAACCCCCTTTGCGAGGCCTTCGCTTTGGAATTCTCTTGGAATTATTTCTATTTCGGACATGCCCAGGAATCTCTGGCAGTCATAACGATAATTGACAATCTGGCCAAGTCAAATTAACATTGCCAGAGGTCAAATTGCATTTGCTCCGGGAATTTCTGATTGCTTCCGTTTTTTTTTTTCCGAACCATTGTTATTGTATATCTCCGAAAACCCCTCCCCAAAAACCAAAAAAAAAAACATACATAGGTAAACAAAGCTCTATTAGGAATGCAATGCACGCAACGCAAAGCGGCCATAAAGACGTTTGGGCCAAAAGCAGCAGCCAAATTAAAACGGGCCAGAAAACAGTAGCCGAAATACAAAAAAAAATAGAAAAAAAAACAACAGACGTGCCACGGTCAAGAGTGACCTCTAACCCACCGCCCACCTCCCCTTTTCGTGGGTTAAACCACCCACTTGGATAGTAAAGCCAAAAGTCAACTAAAGTTTTACTATAAAAGCCGGCGGATTTGCGACTGTTTAATCATATCAGTTTCTGTTCAATCAGCGGATATACAACCAAAAAATCAATTCAAGATGTTCAAGTTTGTGAGTATACCAAAGGATCCTAACTAAAAGCTTATAAAGGATAGCCAAAAACTTTAATTGAGATTTTAAAATCGCTTGGTATAACATTTTTAAAATAATTAAAATTTAAAAATTTAATGTTCGGTTCTGTTATAATTAAAAAAAATGTAGTAAACTTTTAAAAAAGATTTGAATTTTATTGAGGAATTTTCTTCCATAAAATTAAAAGTTTAAAAAAGTTCTAATAAATTAAATTCATATAAAATTATCATTTAAAAAAAATCTTCAATCTTTTTTAATAAAGGAAGCACAAAATTTAAAGGCTCTAAATTCGTTAAAAATCCATTCTTTAATTTTTAAAGTGCTAAAGAACACTTCAAACTTATTTCGTATTTGAATTAATATTTCCTTTTGATCTTTAAGACTTTTATTGTTAAACTTAGACCATTATTACTCCTAAGACAGTAATTACTTCCCTTAACTAATCAAATCCTCCCCTTTTCTCCAAACTTTTTAACCAGTTCGCTCTGTGCCTGTTCGCCCTGTTGGCCGTTGCCTGTGGCAAGCCGCAATTCCTGACCGCCTACAGTGCGGCCTCCCCCTACGTGGCTGCCACGCCCTACGCCTACTCCGCCGGCGGACTCTACGCTTCTCCCTACAGTGCGGCCTACACCAGCGGCGTCTATGCCTCGCCCTACGCCTACTCCGCCTACAGCCCCTACAGCTCCCTCTACCTGAGACGTTAAGTGGAGTGAACACTGTACTACGATAATTCCTGATGACGACGACGACTACGACGACCTAATGAACAAATAAACCTGATAAAACAGATAAAGATTCCAAACAGACCAAAGGCCAGCTATTTGCTGTCATTTGCTTTGAGCAACTGCAGATTAAAAGGGGGCGAAAAAATGGGAGTGGCCAGGCCCCACACTCGAAAAAAATGAACACTCGTTAAATAATATTGCACTTTTAAACACACACACGAAAAATAAACAAAAAAAATTGAATAAAAAATTTACAAACAAATAAACTTTAAAAACATGAAAAAACCTTAAAAAGTTCGTTTAAAAACATTTAAAAAAAATTCAAACATCCATTTTATTTCAGGATTAGTTAGACTTCCAGTCGTATAAAAAAGTTTTGTGCTCTTTTCCAAATGTAGAAGAAACTAAGTCTTTAAATTCTTAATTTTCTTGTAGATTAATACTACAATTTGATAAGAAATAATAGTTTTTTTTAAATATTTTTTTTACTTTATCTGTAGTATTTTTTTGCAGTGTATAGTATTTGCGAAAGCAAAAGAGCCGTATTTTAAAATATTTACGAATTTGTTGCTGTCGTTGTTGCTGGTTTTGCTTGGCAATTTCCGTTAGCTATCAAAAACATTCGCTTTGCCTCGTATATCATGTTTCATGTGGCAAAACGGGTGTTTTTCGGGTGGCTTTCAAAGGGGGCGTAGGACCAGGGGGCGTGGCCCAGAGGTCGGGGGTCCAGCTGTCGCTGGCATGCGTCGGCGTGCATTTGCATCGCTGCTAAAATGTGCAAATTATGGCAACTAAGTTGCCTTATGTTGTCCCAAGCACGCAATGGGTTAAGTGGAATGCACTTAAAGAAAAATCGGGAAAATATTGGGAAATTAATCCTAACAGAGAAATGCCAATAAATAATTCAACGATTTCGAAATCATTTAAATTTTCGTATAAAAGTATGCAATAATATATTTAACTTACGTCATTAAATTATAATGTTATTTTCATAGCATACTTTCAGACACCTTTAAAAGTGATTTGGAAAATCTACGAAATTTGCCATTTAATAAAGGTAGATATATCTCTAAATTGAATTTCTGTTCTTCTAACTATTAAAAATGTAAAATGGGCACATTCTAATAAAATATTTAGGAAAATTTAAAAATAATAAATACTTTAGAGTGTAGGGAGTGGCAGGGACTTTCTTTTGAGCTTCTGTTTCACTTTCCCCCGCTGCCACCTTGGCTCACATGCCTGCATTTCCTGCTCACACTTTCCCTGGCTTTCTCTTTCCCTTTCTCTCCCTTTTTATTCCTATTTCTCATTTTCAGACGTCAGCTTCAGTGTCGCCATTTGCATAATGCATATGTGCTAGTGTACTAGTGTGCTAGTGTTTGCAGCAGCATCCTTTCAGGCGCAATTGTGCACCGTGGTCCTGCGAAAAAAGAGCATCAAAATGCATATGGAAATTGGCTGAGAAATGAAAAATATGTGCAACATCCTGAATAAATGCATTTAGATAAGGCAAATGTGGTTAAATGTTGAATAATGTTCATGCTAATGTTGTTTTCCACTTGATTGGCCTAAAGGAGCAGGCATTTCGTAGTAGAATAATGCGCTATAAAGCATAAATAATGTAAATAAAATGAGTAGCAAATAAATCAGCTACCACAAGGATATGGGGAAAACTAATGGTGAAGAAAAATGGGAGCTTACATTATTTATAAGCATAAATAGGCATGGCCAATTATGTTGAATCCCCAAAAAAATCTTAAAAAGTTTATTGGATACTTTTTAATATTTTTGAGTGTCCAAAAATATGCAACAAAATATTTGTAATCCAAAAGTGATATGAATTCAAATAGGAAGGCAACTTTCCCTTATTCACTGCATACTTTTAGGCACATATTTGTATTAGTTGAATTTTATGATCAAATTAAATATGAACTTCAGAACCTTTTATAACCCCCACTTAACCTTAACATTTATCTTTAGTTAACCACCTAATTTACCGCCTTTAATGTCCACAATGTAGAAATAAAAACGGCAATCAACTTTTCACTTAACTTGCCATTAATTTGCCATTGTTTTCTTAGGACTTTGTCGTCGCCCCAAAGAACAAACAGAAACTGTTTTTCCAGGCTCGACACACCACTGTATATTTGCAGAGAGCGAGAGAAAATGCGCGGGGGAAAACCGGGAAAAATCTGTCATCAGCAGGGTGCCCACCTCAAAAACTTGTTTTCTTTTTATTTTCTCTTTGAGCTTAGAACAAACTTTAAGATGTGTGTATATAAAGCCCCCGAAAAATCAAGGAGCAGGAGGAAAATTTAGAAAAATCTAAACCTAATTTGCATCGTGAGGCGGATAATGGTAAGCCACAGGAGGCGGCGACTTGGAAAAGAAAAACCCACGCGCCACGCTTTCCCAAATTTTCCTCCCACTCTACATATCTTTTTCACATACGCACACGCAGGGGAATGTCAAAAGTCATTGCATATTTTTCGGCAGCATTTTCGTCGAGGTTCGGTATCCTTATCCTTATCCTCCCACATTTATCCTTCGATTTTCCCAGACTGTGTAGTCCATCAATGTCAAACTTACCTGTAAGAGAGCAGAAAAGAGCAGAAAAAGGTGATGAGATAAAAGAAAAGTCGTGGTCTGAGGAATGGCAGGAATAATTCAGGTTAAATAAAGTTAAGTGTTTGTATGGGCCCCTCAGGTAAATAACAATATCAAATGAGCCATCAGGAAAACTGGGGGAAAGCTGCGACTATCAGGTGCACTTGTGCGGAAGGAAAAGTGGGAAAATCAAGCGAAAGTTAGCTTGATGAAATAAAAACTATTCATGTAGGAGGGAACTTAAGGATTACACATTAAATATAATTTTATTTATTACAAATTCGAAACTATAACTCTAAAATTTCTAAAATATTTTCCTATAATTTGAATAATGTTTTCAAACATATTTTATTATTGCCAATTTTGTACTAACTTATTAGTAATTTCCCCTAAAATTAAAGTGTATGCCACATCGCCACTTCATTGGCCTCTTGAGCTGCCCACGCAAATGTTTCTTCTTGAAATGTTTTGTGTTTTTGTGGACATTGAACTAAGTGAATGCCACGTCAAATCAAATTAAAATTAACGTCAGCGTTTTCCATGAGAAATGCAGATAATTAAATTTATCCAGTCAGACAAAGGAAGATATTTAAACGTGGAAAAGGAACTTTGATGTATTTTAAAGATATTCTGTAAAATATTGTTACATTTCTCTTATAATAATACTTTAGGAATAGTATAGAAAATATTTAAATATAAATAAGTTTATGGAAAAAAAAACATAGAAATTTAAAACTTAATCTTTAAAGATTATAAAATTAACCAGCAAATATAAATCTGATCTTTCGACATTTTGTTTTCTGTGTACTTTTAACAATTTAAAAATGTTGTAGAAATAAACTTAAGTAAACAACTATTAAAATTGTTATAATTATAAATAATTATTTAAACACAAATGGTAAGTAGTTCACTTAAAATCCTCCTCGTTCAAAGGATCCGTGTACTTCCCCTCCCGTTCGGCATATTAAATTTCGAGTAAAACGTTTCCCTGGTTATAATTTATTATTAAATCATTGTGCTTATCAATTTTCGCCCCTGATTAATGATGGCCACAAGCGAGAGGATTCAAGACAGACACGCAATTAATTGCCGGACTATTAGCAGGACGAGAAACAAAAGGAGCCGGGACACAGCACTCAACAAGTGATTATACCATGCTATCCTTTCTTCGCTATCCTTTTTTTTCTCCTTCCCAACTTGGCAACATATTTAACCCCTCAAAAACCCGGCAAGGATAAAGGATTCCCGGTGAGAGCCTTTTGTTCTTTTTCCCGGGAATATTAAAAATTCATTGCTCAAGTGTGAGTGTGGAAATGAACAACAGTTTTTGCAGCCAACCTCTGTTAAAAATGCAGGACAACAATTTCCGTTTCCTGTCGCCGGGACGATGTTTCAATCTCAATTGCTGTTGCTTTCGCTTGCGGAACATCCTGGAAGTAATGCCAAAAAAACAAAGGATAATGCCGGGCCCCGAATCAAAGTCCTGATGAGCTGGAAACCGTTTGGCGCTGACAGGACATCTCAATTGGCACTTCACTCTATCTTCCCTTATAAATCTCCCTCTCTTTGAATATAGCCTATATATATGTAGAACCTTTTTTTCCCGTCTATATCTCGCCGTTTTCTCTGATTACACACACACACCCACGCAAGATAGCGTCAAGTCTGGCGTTAAATTGAATCCGCGGCACAATTTTTTCTCCACTTTTCAGCGCGTTCAACGTGGCGTATAATCGATTTTCATTCGGTTTATCCACGTACACACATCTGTATGTATATGAATTTTCCTTTTATTTTTTCAATTCTGACTTGTAAATTTCCTCAGCCGTCGTTGGTAAAGGCTCGCGTTCAACTAAAACTAAAATCAATCGCAAACGCGGTCAAAATAAAAGAAAACTGTCACAATGACCAATGCTGGTTGAAAAGCACACTGAGAAAATTATAAAAAAAATGTAATAGGAATTTTAAAAAATTTTTTAAATTAAAATACAGATTTTGTTTTAGAGTGTTACGTTGACTTGAAATATTTTTTGGCGAATAAAATAACTATTCATGAATTTGTTACCCTAAAAAAAAGTATATTATGGTATATTTTAGCATATTATAATATGTCATATCACAGATTCTGCTTATCAAAACTTAAATGGAACATTTTAATATTTTCTAATCATTAGTTTTATTTTTTGCATACAATAAACAAAGCATAAAATGCTGAATTTATTTAAAGTGATTGGCTGGTAAGTCATTAAGTCAACGTGGAACGAAGCTTAGAGGTCGTAAAAAAGAATAGAGCACCAAAACATAAAACCCGCATAAATCAATAGTGGAAAAGGCAAGGCGGCAAAAAAAGGCATGAGATGAGCACAAACTGCAAATGGTTACGAGTGCTAAATAAATTAAAATAACAAACAGATTCCCCTACAAAGGAAATATAATAATATAATATATTTTTAGCAAGTTAATCAAATTAAATACCAACAACCTCCATCACAAAGTTTTGCTGTCATTTTACTACAAGAAACCTTTGCTTCTGTAGGGAAAAACTTAAAATTTCCCTCAAACTTTCCCTGCA